CCCCAAAACCCCAAAACCCCAAAACCCCAAAACCCCAAAACCCCAAAACCCCAAAACCCCAATAGTGGTAACATTGTTATAAATATTAAATTCTGAATATGTCTAAAGAAGTATTAGATTTTCCGACTGTAAATATTCCTGAGACCAGGAGCTCCGAAGAAGATGATGACTCTTTTGACAGGAAGCTGGAAGAAATGAAAGCTGACCTTGAAGATCTTGAAAATGATTTCTCCAAGAAAACACTAGATGATCTAGTCAAGAAAAATTATAGTGTACCTGCAGTCAGGGTTACCCATAGCCCAACTAAAGATCTTGACGAGTCATTGGATAAGGAAGGAGTAGCCCCAGGTAAGATAGGTGAATCCTTAAAGGACAAAAGGAAAAAGAGTACTCTTACTGTCCCTGGAACTGATCAATTTGAGTAAGTATCCTTTGATATTATATTAACTTGTGGTTCTACACCGGATTAAACCTCTCGATAAGAGTATTTACTAAACTTCATCTAGAGTAGAGTCTTTCAAGTCAGATAACTCTATTTTGTTCGGGAAAGAGTATCTTAACAATAGCCAGGCAACTATTAAAAGTGGAGTTAACAGCTCTGTCCTGTCTAAAGATCATTATGAAAGGCTAGATCCTAATGGGGACTGCTTAACTTCAAGATCAGCCAAAGATCTCGACGATATCAGTGGATTTGACCTTGATAAAGACACTTTGGATCTGATTGATCCTGATGAAATTAATGATAAAGGTGTCTCTGGTGGAGGACTAGCATTTGTAGATGAAGAAGTTAAATTACAACAGGAAGGAGTTGACCAAGAATGGCAAAAGTTCCTTAAAGATGCTCAAAACGAACCTGGAGAGGAAATCAAGCAGGCTGAAGTTTATGACTCTGAAGCACAGAAGAAAGTGTATCACCGGAATTTAGTGACAGATAATATTATTGGACTGACAGAGAAGAAACAGGATGCTATTGCACCTAACTTTTATGCCCAGACTGTGAATGAAAATCAGATGATTTCAGAGAAGGATATAGACCATGTAAACTTTAACAAGAATATAAGCGAAATCCTCAATATTGAAATCGTGTTGTTGGTCTTGTCAAGAAGAATGCTGCACTCTAATTTAACAAGCGATCTAGAAATTGTCAGATGGAAGAAATTTCTTGTTAAGTTCTTGAAGAAAAATGGTACGAATCATGAAGGTCTATTTGGTATGTCCCAAATTCATTTCTCAATGGGAATGCATGAGGTAGCCCTTGATTATTGAAAGAAAGCAATTGATGCATCAAAAGGTAAAGTTCACATTTATTATTCATGGAGAGCGATCTATTATTACTTTTTGTATCTCAATTACAAGCTTCACAATATAAAATCAAGAAGAGTTCCTGCTTTTTTCTTGAGTTGTGAGAGCTCTGCTGTTGAAGCTTTAGTGCATTTGCCTGACAGTATTACTTTACAGTATCTCATTCTTATCCTCAGCTGTGATCGCCAAGATCTGAACAAGCTTCACCAATCTATGGCAAACAGTAATTTGAAGGCACCTGCTGGGTATGCCAGCAAAATTATGAAGCTGAACAAATATATGGGCTATATCTCTTGGGCAGAAATCTACTTGAGAGACCCAAATAAGAAAGCTCTTGGGAACAACGTCCTCATTGATCTCATGAGTGAGTACCCAAAATATCCGCTAGCTTTCTTACGAAAATGGAGGCGAGATTATGACACTGAGCAATATCTTGACTCTTTGGAACCAATGGAAGAGTTGTTCCTGAAAGAAGAGGAAATGTACTCCATTCCTGAGTTGAAAATCATTGTTGCTCTCCTATATGCCAAAAGTCTAGTCCGGACTAGTCAATATGTCCTTGCTTGTGAGCTGATCCAAAACGAATTTTATAAGAAAACTACCCACGCTGTTTTCTTATTTTATTACGGAAAATATGCAATGCAGAGTCATTTAGCAAGCCTCCACTGGGCTTCAATAGGTGTTTTCAAAGAATGCTTGAATTCATGTGTATCTCATCGCTCAGCTAAGATATATTACTATCTTGGACTTGCTTACCAGAAGACTAGCCAACCTCTGAAGGCCTTAAAGTACTTTGGCAAGTCAAAGAGTGCCTTCAAGAAGAATAAATCAAAGGATGAGTCTCACTCGCTTTGTGATTACGAACTTGAACAAATGGAGAAAGTTGAACAGAAGTATAGCAAACTCCAAAGTTATGAATTTGTTATTAAAAAGAAGGCCAAAGAGATTGAATACTACCTGAAAAAGAAGAAGCAAAGGCCAAAAATTGGAGAAAAAGAGAAGAGCAGTCTTGTACAAAGAGCTAATGCTATCTACAAGCATGATCCTTACAATGCTTCTCTCCTTAAAGTCCTTGTATGCTGGGATATCTGCCAGGACAAGAAAGCAACAATTGCTGCTTTCGAAGAGGGCATTCGGAAAACTCCTAATAATGTGAATGTTTTCATTGAATACTGGAAATTCCTGAAATACCTCAAGAAGACTGATAAGATGAATGAAATATCAGAAAAGATGATGAAGATAGTAGATGAGCCTACAGTACCAAGCGATCAATGGGCTGATGCACATGATATCAGGTTTAAATCCCTCCTCAGCTTGGGCAACTCAGAGGATTCTATTAAGAAAGCAGTTGGTGCTTTAAAGAGAATCTGATTTATCCTTCCTCCCTTACCTCTTGATGGATTATGGTACATTGAAGAAGCAGAATCAGATGAAAATCAAGAGGATGAGACAGATGATACAGGAAATAATGAAATTCAAGAGATGATAGAGAAAACTCAGAGACTATCCAAGCCACAATCTCCCAGAAGAATGACTTTAACAAGAACAGGAACTGAAAGTTCTGGAATCTTCTTGTCTTACAGAGATAGGAAATCACATACTCCAGCATCTCGAGAAGACATTCTAAACAAGATCCGCAAAAAGCTTAAAGGGAGTAGCTCGAGTAGCATCAACTCGAAGGATGGGGGTATTAAAGGACTACGGAGGAAAAATTCTTTGGAAGAGGAGAAATTCTCTGAATCTTCCTCCTCCAGCAATTATGAAGAATACAATAATGTACTCAGAGTGACCTTCAAATCTGACTTCATGTACCAAATAGGGAAGGTTTGTTGAAAAAGTGGGTTCATGCTAGACAAAGCTTTGAAATACCTAAATGATTTCTTGCTCATAATTAATTTTTACAAGCAAGATATGGAAACTAAATCCTACCACAAACTTCGGGCACATGCTATCTACTATATCGGAATCACCTACTTCCAGCTAGGAGATAAAGAATACGCAGAGAAATTTTTGAGGGAGATCCAGATAGAAATAATTGAAACTGAAGGAAGAGATAGCAAGAAGGTCAAGAAAATCGACTCTATCCTGTCTAAATATTTCAGTGAGAGGTTCAACCCAATGACGAGCTGCATCTCAGGATATTTTTAATTAAGATTTAGCCCTTATCATAAGGTTTGCAGTATATTTCTTAAATCCTCGACACCTTATTTTGAGCAAACTTTAATTTTGGTTAAAATTTATTATGATTAATAGTTCTTATTTGGATGGGGTTTTGGGGTTTTGGGGTTTTGGGGTTTTGGGGTTTTGGGG